GGGCCTCTTCCTGCCGGAATTACTTCAACATCCTGGACCTGGTGGTGGTGGCTGTCTCCCTCATCTCCATGGGAATTGAGTAAGCGCCCCTGGAGCCGCAGCACCGCCCGCCCAGATGGTGCCATCTGCAGTGGCAATAGGGGCAGAGATGGGCCAGGCCGCTGGTCTGCCTAGCCTGGTACCTGGCCTCCACCAGGACTTGGTGCTGCAGCTGGGAGGCATGCGCCTGGGCAGAGGGGCAGATGGAGCGTGGGGACTTCTGCCCTGGAATTGCCTTCCCCTCCCCAGGTTCCCTCTGCGCCCCTGGGTCTGTCCCTCACGGGGTGGGGATTTGGCCTAGTGGCTCCCCCGGGCCAGGCCGCTGGTCTGCCTAGCCTGGTACCTGGCCTCCACCAGGACTTGGTGCTGCAGCTGGGAGGCATGCGCCTGGGCAGAGGGGCAGATGGAGCGTGGGGACTTCTGCCCTGGAATTGCCTTCCCCTCCCCAGGTTCCCTCTGCGCCCCTGGGTCTGTCCCTCACGGGGTGGGGATTTGGCCTAGTGGCTCCCCCGCCCGCCCAGGACATCGGAAGTCCCGGGCTCTGGGCCCAGCGCTGAGGCTGCGTGCCCCTTCCAGTGATGTGCGGAGAGCCCGGAATTCCACTGATGGCAGACGGGCTCCCTTGGGGCTCTGTCAGCCCAGCATCCAGCCTGTCTCCTGCCCCCGCGGGTCCAGCTCCCCCGCCCACGCTGCAGGGCTCAGGTGCTGACTCTGCCCTGATGGGTGGCTGCAGGCAGGCCTGGCTCTGTCTGGCCCTGCCCAGGCTGGAGGGGTCTCCCCGTCTCTCGCCCTCCCCAGGTCCAGTGCCATCTCTGTGGTGAAGATCCTGAGGGTGCTGCGAGTCCTGCGGCCGCTGCGGGCCATCAACAGAGCCAAGGGGCTGAAGGTGAGAGCGAGGCAGGTAGAGGAGGAGGGTGAACTGGGCTCGGAGCTGCAACAGGAGCCCAGTGTCTGCCGGGCCCTAGGCCCAATCCTGCAGCGCCAGGCCTGGCTGCGCCCCCGGGCGGGTGTTTCACTAGGTGTCTGGGCAGCTGGGAGGCAGCATGTTGCGATTGTACTAGGTCCTCCAGCTGCTCCCCTGTGCCCAGGCACGGTGCCAGGGATGTGCCGGTCATGTTCCCTGCAGGCTGGCCCGGGGCCGGGCCTGGGCCGGCTGTTCCTCCTGCCCCCAGGCATGTACTCCCAGCAGGACGGGGTGCTGCGGGCCCAGCCTATCGCTGCCTTGGCCTCTCTCTACAGCACGTGGTCCAGTGCGTCTTCGTGGCCATCAAGACCATCGGCAACATCGTGATCGTCACCACCTTGCTGCAGTTCATGTTCGCCTGCATCGGGGTGCAGCTGTTCAAGGTGAGCGCCCCCGGGCCAGAACCTGGCACTGGAGAGCTGGGTGGAGCCGAGCTCACGCAGACTCCTGGACGTGGCGCCGGTTTGCTGCCTTCACGTGGAGGCCGGCTCCCATTAGAGATGCAGGGAGGCCGTATCCTGAGAAGGACCCTCTCCGGTCAGGCCCCTTGGGGGGTACAGGTTGAATCTCTCTGGTCCGGCAATAGGCCCACGGATGTTGCTGGACCGGAGATGCCCTGGACTACAGAGTGGTTGCCAGCGGCTGGGAGCAGGGCCAGTCCAGCAGGCTGGCAGTCCTGAGGGCCAGCGGGGCCAGTGGCAGGGAGCATGGTGAGTGGCCCGGCTGGGGGGCCAGCAATCTGTGGGACCGGTGGCCAGGAGCGGAGTCCCACTGGGGGAGTCTGTGAGGTCGGTGGCTGGGGGTAGCAGAGCCCACTGGCCAGAGCCAGTGGCCAGGAAGCTAGCTCCCGCCTCTCCCCCCAGGGAGAGCCCAGAGGCCTGACCTCCCCTGGCCCGGCAAGCTCCCATGTTTGGGACGAGCCAGGTCCCAGGGAGCCTGTAACAGCGAGCCGCAGGCAGAACAGGGCAGCGCGCGCATAGTCGGTGTCCAAGCAAGGCAGCTTCTCACCCCGTGGGCAGAGACCTGGTCTGGGGTGTCAGTGGAGGTGGGGTCTCTTCCCAGCTTTGCCACTGACCTGCTGGTTGACCTTGGGCCAGTCCCTTCCCCAACTGTGCCTCAGTTTCCCGCTGCTGGCTCCAGCTCCCGCCGTGTTGCAGGATCACAGGTGCTTCCTCCTGGCCACACACGGCACTGCAGGCAGCTCTGTGCGGGCGCTGGGTGTGAATCAGCGAGGCGATGCGCCCGGCCCTCCTCTTCGGAGGAAGTGCTACAGGCTGCCATGGCAGGCTCTGGCTTTCGAGGCCTGCAGGGCTCCTGGGGGCTGCCAGGGCAGCTCAGTGCAGCGGGAGGGCTGGGCTGGGCTGGGCTGGTTCGTCAGCCTGGGTTCTAACCGACCACCTCTAATGAAAGGCCCAGCTGGGGCAGGGCCCAGGCTCCCACGGCCGGCCCTAGTTCAGACTGGATCAGGGCCAGGAGGCTGGGTCGGGGCCAGGCCGTGGTGTCAGGCCAGGATGTTCTGCCATTGCCAGTAGCTGCCCTTGTTGCTAGATCTATCAGCCAGGCCCCTGCCGTTCACAGCAAACCCCCTGCTTGTGCTCTCTGCTTGCACCTAGGGCAAGTTTTACAGCTGTACGGATCTGGACAAGATGACGGAGAAGGAGTGCAGGTGAGCACCCCCTATGGTCCCTGCATGCTCATTGCAGCCAGAGTGCAGGGCCCTGGCGGGGAAGGTGAGGCAGCCCCGGTTTGCCTACTTGTGCTCACAGCCCATTGCTGGGATCCTGCCACGCGGAGGAGCCCAGGTGAGGGTCTCTGTGCAGTACAGGCCGTTGGCTCTAGTGGGCAGAGAGCAGCCAGGGCTGAGCAGGAGCTGGGCTTGCAAACCAGAGGAAGGCCAGGCCAACGGTCACGGTGCTCTTTCAGGTCTTCATTCATCCTCCAAACCGGCGCGAAGACGGCAGCCACCGGTGCCCTGTCTCCTTTGCAGGTGCCGTGCGGGGTGGAGAACCTGCAGGGCTCTGTGGAGGTTATAGGGGGCTGCCCTGGGGCTGTGGAAGGGCCAAGCCCCCCCAGGGCAGCAGCAGCGTGTGGTGGGATCGGCCAAGCTGCTGCAGCTGGGGTTGCCAGACGGTTGAAACAAAAATACCGAACACGGCCTCCCTTCCCCTCCTCCCCCCCCCCAAAAAAACCTGGAAAAAATTCCGTTGAAGAAAAAAACAGAGGGGGGGCCAAAGTTGTTGAGCAAAAAAAAGGGACTCCAAGACTTATTATGCTAAAAAATAAATAAAATAAAATAAAATAAAATAAAACAGCATGTCCCCTTTAAGAGTGAGTGGAGGGATAGGAACAGGGAGTGGTTGAGCACTAAGACCCAGGGGAAATGCCGGCAGCCTTGGGGAACCAGGTAAGCATGGGGCTGGGGGGTTGGGAGTTCGGGGGGAGGCCGGGCGCTGAGTGTTTGTAGGGTTGCCAGGTGCCCGGCATTTTCTCCTCCTGGCTGGGGAAAAATTCAGAGAATCCGGGCATCTCAGGTGTCCGATATTCCCTGCATTTTTTTACCGGACAGGAGGTGAAAATACCGGCCTGTCTGGGTGAATGCCGGACACCTGGCAACCCTAGCTGCAGCTGGTGGTTCCAGGCTGCCACCGCTAATCCCAGGTGCTCCAGGACGATGCGCCAGCCCCACGGAGCCTGCTTGGCTGCTTTGCCGGCACAGGCCTGCAGCGTGGCAGGAGAGCCCCGGGGGCATTCCCTGGCCCTGCAGCTAGTTAGTGGGATTGGGAAAAATTGCTTAGTAACATGATCCACTTCTCCAAAGCACATTTATCTGCGAGCCTCGGGCAGGTGGACCCTGATGAGGCCGCTGGGCAGGTCGTAGAGGGAAGTGTTACCCTGGCAACAGCAGGGGGTCCTTCATCCACACACGATTGCACGAGAGCGGCTTCCCGTGCCTGTCTGAACTCCCAGGCTCGGCCCCGGTGCCTGTTGTGACCAGCACTGACCTCTGGCCTCCTGCAGCTGAGAGTTCCGAGGTTGATTTGGAGAGATGCCGTGCTCCGAGCAGCAGGGCGCCTTCAGCATGTGGGCATGTGGGAGGGGAGAGGACGTGGGCAAGTGTTTCTGGGCCCGGTTCCTTGCTTACTCACCCCGATACATGTGGCACCGCCTCCCTTTCAGAGGCAACTTCATTCTCTACGTGGACGGCAGCCCCACGCAGCTGGAGCTGCACTCGCGCGAGTGGGTGCACAACGCCTTCCACTTCGACAACGTCCTCTCGGCCATGATGTCGCTCTTCACCGTCTCCACCTTCGAGGGCTGGCCGCAGTGAGTCGGGGGGAGCATGCGGCGCGGGGGGAGGGAGATCCCAGCTGGGAAATGCCACATGAAGGGACCAGCAGCTGCCTGGCATGTCCTCCGCCGGACCAGGCCTTCCCTGCGCGGCGTGGTGAGCGCCGCGCTCTCTGCTGCTCCTGCAGGCTGCTGTACAAGGCCATCGACACCCACACGGAGGACATGGGCCCCATCTACAACTACCGGGTGGAGATCGCCATCTTCTTCATCATCTACATCATCCTCATCGCCTTCTTCATGATGAACATCTTCGTGGGCTTCGTCATCGTCACTTTCCAGGAGCAGGGCGAGAGCGAGTACAAGAACTGTGAGCTGGACAAGAACCAGGTACTGCCCACGGACCCCCTGAGCTCCCCCCGGCCCACAGACACCCCTCGGACCCCAGTCTTTCCCTCCCAGCCCTGGGGAACCCCAGGTTCCAGGCACGCCCCGCTGTGGGTGCGGGGAGTGAGAGGAGAACATTGGGCCTTGGCTTGGACATGGCTGAGCAGGGCCGGCTCGAGCCATTCCTGCGCCCCGGGTAGCAGGCGCGGCCCCGCCCCCCGGCGTGCTGTGCACCTTACAGCTGCCATCAGGCACTCCCCATAGGTTGGCTCCGTGCAGCTGCCCGGCTAGGCCCCCCCTTAATCCGGCCCTGCGGCTGAGCTGCGGGATGAGAGCCGGGGTCCCCCCGCTGGAGGGGGGCTGAGCGGTGGAGGCCGGGAGCCCAAGGACAGGGCTATTGTACAGGAGTGTCAAGCGGCAGAGCTGAAAGACGAGACCCGCAGTTCTCCCAGGCCTCCTGGCCTCTGCTCACCTGCGCGTCAGGGCTGGGCCACTCTGCTGAGAGCCCCGGCTGGGCAAGCCACTAACTCGCGCACTGGATACGTGGGCTGCAGCGGGGCCTGCCCCAAGTCAGTGACTAGTGGTTGCCTGCCAGTGAGGGGCGGTGCAGGCCGGGGAGGCCCCTCAGGAGTGGGAACCGCTGCTCCCTTACCAAGGTGCTAGTCCCACGCCCCTGCATGCCGGGTTCACGCTGCCCTCGTGCCCTCGAGTGTTCTTGGGTGGGTAGACTCCGGCCCCTTTCTGTGTGGGGCTGCTCAGGCTAATCACAACGGGCTGAAACCAGACTCCCTGGGCTCCCGACTGAACTCGCGCAGAAAAGCGAGCAAAGACAAACGCCCCCGAGCGCCTGTGGGCAAGCAGGGCAGCCCCCTGTCCCCGACCTCCCCATCCCCGTCCCCACGCTGCACGACGCTGGACGAGCCCGGGAGCTTCTCTTCCTCACGCTGCTCCACACTAAAGATCATGGGGCCCCCAGAGACACTGGCTGTCCCGACTGTCACAGGCGGGGCTGAGGGCAGTCGGGCCTAGTGGTGACAGCGAGCGCTCAGTTCAGGGAGGGCAGAAGTCAGTCGGAGGGACTTGTAAGTCACCGCAAAGATGTCAGTCAGGGAGCAGGCCAGCAGCAGGCCCTAGCACGACCCCTTTCCTTTCAGAGCCGTCTCCCTGGAGCCCTTGGGCCGGGTTTCTTGGGGCAGCCTACAGGCGGGGCTGAGGGCAGTCGGGCCTAGTGGTGACAGCGAGCGCTCAGTTCAGGGAGGGCAGAAGTCAGTCGGAGGGACTTGTAAGTCACCGCAAAGATGTCAGTCAGGGAGCAGGCCAGCAGCAGGCCCTAGCACGACCCCTTTCCTTTCAGAGCCGTCTCCCTGGAGCCCTTGGGCCGGGTTTCTTGGGGCAGCCTAGTGGAGGGTGTGTGGGAGGAGCAGGGCACAGTGACCGAGCTGAGTGGTTCTGTGGTCACAGTGCTTGTGGTGCAGCTTCAGAGACAGACGGTGGACCCCAGGATTTGGGCAGACAGCCAAGTTTCCCCCTAACGTGCGGTTGGGGGTTGGCCGATGGGGTTGGCCGGCCTGGCGCTTGGACGCCGCTGAGCCTCTGCTAACTGGCTGTGCGTGGTGGGGTGCGCGGCGAGGCCAGCAGCGGGGGGTGTTGGCGAGTCGAGGGGGATTTCAGAGGGGAGCCCCTAATTCCCAAAGAAAGGGGCCGGCTGGCTCGTGGCCAGCGTGGACTTGCAGGTGCATTGTGGGTGGCGAACGAGAATGGCGGGAACGTAGGGAGCAGTGTAAGTGCTGCGGCAGGGAGGCCACCTGATTCGCTGTCCCTGCCTGTCCGTCACTGCGAGGGCGGGAGGCGCGAGGGCCATGGCCCTGGAGGGGCAGAAATTCCTGTCAGAAGCTGGAAATGAACTGGGGGCCCCGGCTGGGGTCAACCCATGGAGGCAAAAGTTGGGTTTGAAGACACAAGCGGTTTGCTGAGGCTGCAGCACTAGGCCACCATCGGCGGGTGACTGGCTACCCTTGGGAGGTGGCCAGGTCATGGGAGTCCTCCCTTTCCAAGCTAGCCGTGTCTCTGGCAGCCTTGCAAGCCACTGCCTGGCGCCTGCCGCTTC